TGTTGCCATAATGGAAGAAAAGAGAGAATAATTGAATTATTGGTCACTAGAGCCTAAAGTACTTTAAAAAGTCACTGATTGTCTTTTGGAAACTTGAGTCCGTGGACATAAAGTGGCTTTTTCAAGACCATTTGGCTGAGCAAGAGCAGGGCCAATACTCACTCTATGTCTCCTTTTAAGAATGCCAAATCTATTTAATTTAATGAAGGCACTGATAAGATCATCAGAGTCATTACTACAAATGCTGCTTCTGCATTTCATAGAAACAGATTTTGACTGGGTTAGAAGCAGATGATCCTCTCTTCCTTAGTTGTTTTAATTCCTGGGCCTTATCCTTGTTTTATATCCACTCTGCTTTTAAATTTTTGCTTCTACCTTTATTGGGTTAAAAATTATCTAGAACCTACATAGAAATCAGATTAGGGCCAAAATGTCATCTTAAATAATATAATAAAAATAATCATGAACAATGAAAATTATGACACCCAGTGAGTGTTCTGTTGTTTTTAAAATCTCCTTACTCTTTTTATCTTTTTAATTTTTATTTTTAAATCATGTTTATTCTATTACAGTTGTCTCAATTTTCCCCCCATTTGACCTCCTCCACCCATCCCACCCCATCCCGCTCTCCCACAGTCAATTCCCACTCTGTTGTCCATGTCCATGGGTCATTCATACATGTTTTTTGTTTAGTCCCTTCTTTCCGCCATTGTCCTCCCTCCACATCCCTTCTGGTCACTTTCAGTCTGCTCCATGTTTCCGTGCCTGTGGTTTGTTTTGTTCATTAGTTTATTTTGTTGAATAGATTCCACTTATAGGTGAGATCATATCTTATTTGTCGTTCACTGACTGGCTTATTTCACTTAGCATAACGTTCTCCAATCCCATCCATGTTATCACAAAAGGTAGGAGTTCCTTTCTTCTTTTTTTTAAATGCAGATTGATTTTATTTATTTTTTTAAATGTCAAAATCCATTATATTAAAATATTTAAATCCATTATAAACTCAGCAATTAAAACAATGTGACATCAGCACAGAAATAATCAAGTAGATGAATGAAATAAAATGACCATTCTAGAAACAAATATGTATATCTAACAATGTAATATATGATTAAATTGATATTTCAAATCCATGGGGAAAATAAGGCTTATTTAACAAACAAGGTACATTGATCACTATTACTTGAAATAAAACAAATATAGAGCCCTATTTCACATATTATACTCAAAGTATTCAGGTGAGTTAAAAATCAGTATGTAAAATCTGGAGTTTTAGGAGAAAATACACAATAATATTTTTCTTACCCTGAAGTAAAATATTCAAACCCAGAAGCCATAAAGTAAAATATTGACAATATGACTATATTAAACATTTAAGAATATACAGTAATATACATATAAAAATTAAAGGACAGGTAATAGAATAAAGTATTTGCAACACATCTGAAAAAGGATGAATAGTTTGGGGTTTTTTTTAGGGAAAAATTCTACAAATATTTAATCAAAAAAATGGATAAAGAATACCAAAAAGTCATTTAAAGCTTTTTAAAAATAATAGAAATAGGCAAGAAATGTACAAAAACCGGTTTAGTTTCAACAAATAATAAAGGAACAAAATAACACATCATTGTCACAATCAGATTAATACGTATTAAAAATATTGGTAATATCAAGTATTGGTGACTGTGGGAGGAACTGGGTATTTATAGACTCTTTCTTCATCTTCGTAAAGCAGTCCCTTTAGCATATTTTGCAGTGCTGGTTTGGGGGAGGTGTTTTGTTTTAGCCTCCTTTTATCTTGAAAACTCCTTATGTCACCGTCCATTTTAATTGAGAGCCTTTAATTTAGACCCCACTCATCTCTGGGGGATGCAACTGGCCATTTTAGTCTCCCTCGGGCGCTGCTGCCCGTGGGTCCCCAGCCCATCTTCTTGAGTCTCTACCACACTCCTTACCACCCAGGTTGTGCTGAAGCTGATTCTTCTGTCTGTCCGAGGTTATAAGGCTCCTCTCTCGCTATTGTACAGTGGTTTGCTCCAGGTGATTTCTCCACAATTTGGTTGTAATTCTAGATTGGTCCTGGGAGGAGGTCAGAGTGACTTCCATTTGCTCCTCTGCCATCTTGCCTCTCCTTACTCTAAACTAAATGTTATTACCCAGAAAGGGCACGCCCATTCTTCTGTGAAACAACTCGAATGGGAGACTCATCACTTCCATGCAACCAGACATTAGCTGTGTCAGAGCTGTGTTGCTACTTTTGTTATTTTCTGTTTTACTTTCATTTTGTTGGAATTTCAGCACAGGGTGATATCTGCCCTATGTGTATTCCAGTTTCCACCTTTTAGCAAGAACTTTAGATCTAACCAACATGGAATTATGAATATATTTTTCTGCATTCCACCTCAGGTTCCAGCTTCTTATGTGTCTATATTTTCAGCAAGTCCTGTGAGGGAAAATCAGCAGGAGGAGAGAACTGTGTTTTAGGCTTCTCCATATTTCAGTTTGTCACACTACCCCACGATTGTTACAAGCCCCATTACATTCCTCTTAACCCAGCAACATTCACCTATGTGTGACAAGCTTCACCTTTACCTACCTGTGTCCCCAGACAACACAGATGCCCTCAGGGAGGAGTGTAGCCACTGGTCTCTACTCATCTCATTGTTTTTCTCAGGAATGTTGTTCATTTATATTTATCTTTGTATCCACAGTTCTCTGGGATATTTTCTTAAATCTACATATTTTTGTTTTATCTGTTATTTTCTTGTTATTGTGGAGGGTGTAACTACGTCATAACTGGTAGCAGAATTACCAGCTCATATTAATCCATTTAGGAATTGAGATGACTCAAAGTTGGGCCCCCAGTCCCTATAAGGCCTGGTCTAATTTTGCTCTTAGTATATATACTGTTAAGGTCCCAATCCAAAACCTGCAAACAACTTACCAGGGCCTCTCCCATCTGACAAGCCCTGAATGCCTAGTTTGTCACCTAACACCCATAAGCCCTCCTCTGAAATCAGCAAATGCTTGTCCAGGGACACCGTCATTGAATGTCAGGCTCATCTCTTTGGATTTTCCTCCTTTCCCACATCTTGACCCCACAATTGCTTACTGCTTTGGTAGTTACCTAGTAACTTCCAAAAGATGCTGTTTTGCCCAGCTATTCTAGTTGCTCTCAATAGGATGATTGGTCTTAACTATCTAGTTCACTAGCAGTAACAGAATCCTTACTAGGCTTTGGATCTCTACCTACTGATGTCCTGACATTGTAGTTTTGAGTAAACTGACCGAAGTTCTAGCCATTTCCACTAGGAGTTTATGAAGATGTATATTTAGTCTCATTAGACCACTGGAACCATTTCTGCTCATTGGTCCTGACAAACTCAGTGGGAATCACTACTAAGCAGACTAACAGCAGTAGCAGATTGACTTTTTCAGGGTTTCTGGAAATATTAGTAATAATAGTCACAGTGTATTACTTTAAATAACCTTCCGTAAACCACAAGCAGCTATGGTGTACTCTTACATGAGTTTCTCCCTGACGACTTAGATGTAGGGAGGGGAAGGGTGTTTGTAATCCTCCATCTGTGTTCCATCTGGATTGCTGTATCACAGTGTGCCAATGAGGTCTTACAGTGCCAGAAGCCCTCAACCTGGATGCTGCACTGAACCCACTAGCAGGTTGGGTTTAGGTGTATTTGGGGTGAGAAGTAGGTGGAGGTGGGTTGGTTGGCCTCAGTAGCAAGCAAAGCTGATTCTCCCACATGGCATGAAAATGCAAGCAATTGTGAATTTCTTATCTACTTCCCCCCAGGGAAGAGAATGGGAAGTAAGGGCCACTGGTGAACACTGAGTTAGAACAAATAAACATTTAGATGAGTAACTCCACCTATATGATGAATCTAATGGAGCCATCAAAGAGTCTGCAGTCCCTCTTTCCCAGGCTTTATGATCAATGTTTGATCTCACTGGCGACTTCCTGACCAAAAACAATATTAATTGCTATTACCCTGGTCTGGGCAACAAGCATAAGGGCCTTGATGTCCCAAAAGCTTCTGTTAAGTTTATAGAAGTGGCCTCAGATTTTCTATGAGATTAGAGTATATTGGCTCTGCAAATGTACTTCTAATTTGCTCCCCAGTTGAACACAGTTTGAACTCTATCCACTTTGAAGTTGAGCTACTAAATGAATTACAGGAGTGTTTAACCTTTGAAGCATGCTGTATCCCGAAATTTCTGTTAAAACTACAGATAACTTCTGATTATGACAACTCAGCATTAAAAACTGAGCCACTTCTTGGTACATATCCAAAGAAAATTAAATATTGATCTCAAAATGGTATCTGCACTCCTATGCTCACTGCAGCATTATTCACTATAGCTAAGATACTAAAACAACCTGTCAGTGGACAAATGGATAAAGAAAAGGTGATATGTGTATATGTATGAGTATATACATATCATTTTATCAACAGAGATGAACCTGGAGAACATTATGCTAAGTGAAATGAGCCAGATACAAAAAGGCAAATACTATATGATCTCATTTATATGTGGAATCTAAAATAGTCAAACTCGCAGAAGCAGAGAGTAGAATGGTGGTTGCCAGGGGTGGGTTCTTGGAGGAAAAAATGAGGGAGTGCTAGTCAAAGGGCGCAAATTTTCAGAATGATTTCTGGAAACCTAATGTACAACATGGTGACTACAGTTAACAATACCATATTGTATACTTGAATTTTACTTTACGTTACTTGAATTTTAAATGAAATTTAAGATTTACTTAGAAAGTAAATCTTAAGTGTTCTCACGACAAAAATGATAATTATGTGAGTTGATGAATATGTTAATTAGCTTGAGTGAGGTAATCACTTCACAGTGTGTATCAAAATATGAATTTGTAAATCTTAAATATATGTAATTCCTATTTGCCAATTATACCTCAAGAAAGTTGGAAACAAAAAAAGAAAAAAAACTAACTTGAATTGACTGTCTTGCAGGTATGAGAGAATTGAAATCCCAATCCATATCGTACCTCATGTAACCATTGGGAAAGTGTGCCTTGAATCAGCAGTTGAGCTGCCCAAGATCCTGTGCCAAGAGGAGCAGGATGCATATAGAAGGATTCACAGGTAGAATCTTTCCTCGCCCCTCTTCTCCACTTCTAGATCCTAGTCCCAGTTGTCCTCTTCTGTCCTTTCATCTTAGCAGCTCCACTCTTGAGCATACTTTCCTTTTATCTCTGTGAGAATGCTTTATAGTGGTCTCCAATCACAGTGTTTCTCATTCTGTATGAAAGCAATCTTGTTAACATTTGTTTATCTCCTGCTGCAGTTTGGATCCTCCAAGGGCAAAGACACTTTTTTGGTTATAAAAAAGTAATAAATAACAATAATCTTAGTAGCCCAGATGCCAAGCACTAGGTCTTGCCCAATATATGTGTGCTGTGTGAAGGCTTCAATGAGACAGTAATTTCAAAATTATCTCTTTGAATTATATCAAAGTTCTGAATAGAGTCACATCTCAAAAATCATGAAAAATTTAACAATAACAAGAATTTAAATTATACACATTCATCTAATCCAGATGGCAGAGGTCTGGTGCAGTTTATCATTTTGTTATATAGTCCATGGCAATTTTATTTTCCCTCCACTACTGCTTTGTTACTAACCTAAACTATTTTCTCCCTTTAGTCTCACACATCTGGACTCGGTAACCAAGATCCATAATGGCTCAGGTAAGATTTTTTTCTCTTGAGTATAGGCAGTAATCTCTTAAATACTCAGCTGACAGGAGCAAATTTAGTTTTGGTGATTGAAGTGATGAGTATAAGTTATCCACAAATTTCACTTCCCAGAAGCTTTGCCATTCATTAATCCTGCTCCCGACTTTTCTATTGAATGCCATGGACCCTTGAATAATATAAATGCTACCTACAGTAAGACTAGAGGAAAGACAGGAACAAGTTTTACGATAGATCTCCTCTGTTGTGTGCTGGTACATGTTTAAATAACCAGTTCTCGGAGTGGGGAGGGCCCTGATTTGGCGTTTTTGCCAGTTTCCATGGGGTAATATCTCTCCATGGCTCATTTCAGACCACTTACATGGCCTCAATCGGATCACAGCCTTTCTGAAATTCCAACAATTGGCTTTCCTGACGTAGTCTAGCATATGAGGTGGTTCTAGCACAGCATTACCATCCTATTGTGGTGGGAGTTGAAAGAGATAGATAGAAAGATGAAAGGGAGGGCATGAGGGAGGAAATTGTTTCATGCCAATAAATATAAAAGGAATTCCTATACAGGCCCAAGGAACAGCAAGCTCAATACAATATATAAAATTGCTTTTCCCCAATATACACAGCTATACATCCCCACTTCCTCTCTAACCCTCTCAGGCCATTCTGTGCAATCTTCCCCAGTGGCTGACAAAGTCACCAGTGAGGAAGAGGGGGAGGCTTTCACGTGTTACAGGTAATTACTTTGCAGGGAAAAGAAGAGAAAGATGGCTCAGTATATCTGTCCCATAATTTCTGTGTGTGGAGGCAAAACCTGGCAAATAGTTAAAAGTTGGTAATATACCGAGGTCTGTCCAGAAAGTAACCAGCCATGTACTATGAAAAATAGAAACATTTATGGAAGAAGATACAGGATACAAGAAACATTGTACATAGGACAATGATGCCTCAGTCCCCTTCAAAGTAAGTACTTTGGGACCTCACACAGTTCTCCCAGCATATCTTCCACTGTTTAAAACACTCTGGAAAATCCTTGTTGGAATCGTCATCAGCCGTCCTGTTGTACTTTCTTGAATCTTATCAATGGTCTGAAATCCCTTCCCTTTCAAAGGTGATTTTAGTTTTGGGAAAATCCAGAAGTCCCAGGGTGCCAAATCTGGGCTATAGAGGGGCTGAGTCACCTGGGTGATTTGATGTTTTGAGTGGGCGTGTTGTTGTAATGAAGCTACCAATCATCAGTTCCCCATAGGTGCACCCATTTTTGTCGCATTACATCTCTCAACTGACAAAGAACATTGAGGTAGTATTTATTACTTGTTTGGCCTGGAGGGGCATACTTGTGATGGACCACACCTTCCCAATCAAAAAACACAGTTAACATGGTCTTGATCTTGCTGTGACTTTGCCACGCCTTCTTTGGACATGGAGAACCAGGCGATCTCCAGTGAGACAACTGGGCCTTTGTTTCTCGATCAAGGCCATAGACCCACGATTCATCTCTGGTTATGACCTTTTTGAGGAAATCCGGTTCATTGTTAGCGGTTTGAATCAAGTCATTAGCAACTGCAGGATGATGTTCCTTCTGCTCTTGTAGCAGAAGCCATAGAATGAAGTTTGCCACAACACGTCTCATGCCAAGATCCTGAGTAAAAATCTCAGGACACAGTAGTTTTTGGAATCCCCAGATCAGCTTCAAGTTCTCACACTCAGTTTCCGATCTTTGTTAATTGCAGCCTGTACACATTCAGCGTTCTCAGGTGTTCTGCTCGTTGCAGGCCTTCCAGAATGTGGATCACTTTTAACAGATTCTCGCCATCTTTGAAGTGTTTGTGCCACAGTTTTATTTGCACCGCACTCATTGCATCATCCCTGAAAGCCTTCTGAATCATCTGAATAGTTTCTGTAGAGGAGTGATCAAGCTTAACACAAAACTGATGCAGATTTGTTGCTCTAATCAGTCATTTTGAATGCAGTGGACACACAGTGTACACGCTAACTCAACAGCATCTACTGCCCCCACTGACTACTAGTACAGTGAAGTCATCATTGTTAATGCATGTGCATTCTAGTCCACTCTTCTTAGCTGCCAGGTTATATCAATGTCGCATGAACCATTCTCATTATATGGCTGGACTTTTTCCAGACAGACCTCGTATAAAACGTAGCCATTCTCTAAAGCCACAGTATTGTAATTTAAGTCAGGAGTAGACAAATCAGTAGAACCCAATAGAGCCCAGAAATAGGGCTGTGTGTGTGTGTGTGTGTGTGTGTGTGTGAATTTATATTTAAGAGAGATATTACTTAAAATCAATTTTAAAAGGATGAATTATTTACTAAATAGTATTGGGATAGTTCATTTGTTAGTTTATTCATTCAAGAAACATTTGAGTACCTACTCTGAGCTAGGTACTATTCTAGGACTGGGGCACAGTGCTGAACAAAAGAGACAGTCTTAATCTTCATGCATGGCCTTATTATATATTCTATTTCCATTAGGAGGAAATAGATTCCTAGCTAACTTCCTACACAAAAATAAATTCCAGCTATATTTAAACTTTTACTGTTAAATATGGTACAACCACTTTGGGAAAGAAGTTAGCAATTACCATTACCAAATGTCCCACCAACTCTTCTAGGCATATACTCCAAAGAGCTGAAAACACATGTTCAAACAGAAACATGTACAGGAACATTCATAGCAGCATTATTCACAATAGCCAAAGAGTGGAAACACCCAAGTGTCTGTCAGTGGGTGAATGGAAAAAGTGTAATCCATCCATAGAACGAGTATTGCTCAGCAACAGAAAGTATAAACTACTGTACTGATACATGAACAACCTTGATGTACCACAAGAGCAGTATACCAAGTGAAAGAAACACCACACAAAATGCTATATATTCTGTAGTTCCATTTGTACGAAGTTCAAGAATAGGCAAAATTATCATATGGTAACAGCAAGCACATTGGTAGCTGCTGGGGCCAGAGGTGAAGGGGCCTTGACTGCAGAGGGACCTCTGGGCTGATAGAAATGGTATATACCATGACTAGGAATGGTTACAAGGTGTGTGCATTTGACAAAACTTATTGAAGTGTACACTTAAAATAGGGCCCTTTTATTGTCTGTAAATTACACCTTTGTAAAAGCTCATTTTAAAAGGAAAAAAATACAGGAGGAAAATATAAGAGGGTATTTTTCAAACTCTAAGGAGGTAATGGCCTAACTATAATCTAAAACCCTGACCTCAAAAAGAAAACACTGACTAAATAAGAATTGAAGCCTTTTATAGACCCCTATAGAAAAATCAAATTGTTCATAATAATTTTTAAGAGAAGTATAGATTAAGATAAAATGATTAGTTTTTCACATTTTTCTTTTGGCAAAGATTAAACTGAGAGAGAATAATGAACACTCCCATGTCCTGTTCTGTTCCTAGAGGTATAATTTAGTATAATCTGGAAAATACTGGATAATCAGTTTTCAAATATGCATGGATTTGAATATAGCAACTCCACTTCCAGAAATGTACCCATCAAAAATTTGCAGGACAAGGGTGCAAAAATAAATTGAAAGGGGTATTAATGGCAGTCTTTATAACTGCAAAAAAACATGCCACTGGAATGTCCATCAATAGAGGATTTATTAAATTGGCACATCCATTCCGATGAATACTGTACAGATCTTGAGAGGGAAAGCTAGATCTTTATTGAAACAGAAAGATGTCTATAGCATACTGTTATGTGGGGAAAAGTAACATCCAAAATAAGTTTTTATTCTAAAGTATACATGCACACATGTATACACACATACACATATATCTTGGAAGATATATCCCACCATATTACAGTGGTCATTTTCAATAAACCATGTACTATGAGAGAGAAAAAGATACTTCTGTTAGGTGGAGTTTGTTTTAAAAAATTAAGAGTGCCATTGAAGCTAAACATTCATAGTAAAGGCATGAAAGATGATGGCTCTCTTACTCTTCATCTCTCTGGTTTTTCCTCATTTTAAAAAAGGAGGTTTAAAGTGAGTTAAATTTATTTATTTCTTCAATGTACATAACATTTTGGAGGCAGTTTTCCTCCTGGACTTGTGGAAAACTAAGTTAGAACTCTTCCTAGAGAGCTAGGGCAGAGTTCTAGCTCTTTAGGAAGTTATTGTCACTTACACTGTGGGAAGAGCTGAGGGTTTGGGAAAGAAACCTTTCTGTAGCTCTTAGCCTTTTTGCTTACAGGAGTGAAAAGCTGGTCATTTTTTGCTCTCTGCTCAGCTAGGCTTCCCTCTGGCCTATGGATCCAGGGATGTTCAGGAATGCCTCAGAATAGGCAAATTTGCTCAACTGTTCTTTCTTTCCTCTGGCTGGCTGTACAAAATTGTCTGCCAGTCTTACTTAGTGCACTTTTTCTACTTCCTCCCCCAACTCCTCCTTTCTGTGCTCACAATTGAGGGGCTGCTGTTGGTGGAGTGTTATCTCATGTGTTTTTCCTATTGAAGTGTTTACCAAGAATCTGTGCAGTCAGATGTCAGCAGTCAGCGGGCCTCTCCTACAGTGGTTGGAGGACAGACTGGAGCAAAACCAACAGCATTTGCAGGAGTTGCAACAAGAAAAGGAAGAGCTTATGCAAGAACTTTCTTCTCTAGAATAAAGTGGAAGACAAAATGGGGTAAAAATTCTTTTTTGATGGTCTGAAAATTCTCATACCTCATGTGTAGGCAGACAATGGAGTATCTTTTCTTATATCCCAATGGATGAGTTTTATGTATGGAATAAACACAAGACACCTTTCTAAAAGTTTCATTGGGGCTTAATGAACCTTCTATCTGTAACTGGCTGAGAAAGAACATTACAAGATGATTTAAGGAGAATAGTAAAGGTTATTTTTAAAGGCTATATAATGTGCATTGGCAAGGACAACCTGTAATAAAAGGTCTGGGGAATATATTTTAAAGGTTTATCTTCCCCTTGTTTAACTTGGAAATATTTATATTCATTTTTAGATACACTCACTCCCTAGAATAAGCTGAAGGAAGAAGAGTATTTAATGTTTCAGTTTTGTAGTTATGATATTTATGTTACCTAAGTAAATAAGTACACAAGGATTATGTCTTCCTTCTTGATCTCTGAAATATATATACTGAGCTATGTACAAAGTATATGTATCAAATATGTGAGTGCCTTTCTAACCAAATAGATGATTTCTAGCATATTTGATTCTTAAGTAAAATTCTATCAGGAAGGTCTTGTTTACTTAGGAACTTCCATTATAGTATAAATGTGTTTCTCTAGAAGTATTCAGGATTTAGGACATAAAAATCCATACTTTATAAAGTTCTGTTGCATTATTCTTACCATGTGTAACCACAGATGGTAAGTGTGTCTTCAGAAAAGAGCCAAGCGTACTGCATACTGGAAATTAAAGTGGGAATTGAAGGAGTTGTTTACTTGTTGTTTACTTTCTTTATAAGTAAAGAAAGTAAACAACAAGCGCCCAATCCCAACAACAATGACAAAGTGTTGGGTTTTGGCTTTGTTTCTTCTTAGATTATTGTTTTTCATGTTTTAAGGTAGAGTTAAAAAAATAAAATAAAATACAGTTCAGAACCACTTGCACCATAATCACTTGGAGGTCAAAGTCCATCTCTGGGTGGGACCCAGACACTTTCATGAACTCCCCAGTTGATTTTAAGTCATGCAGAAGTTTGCAAACCACTACACTAGGGCATATGCAGTATAAATGCTGTATTTTCTCTAATTTCTCACAGCCACAGTTCTCTCTTTTTTTTCTTTCCCTATAGGAAAAATGAAAGTATCCAGATATAAAATTAAATAAGTTAAGTCAATTTTGAGGAAAAAGTTGGAAGGACTCACATCACCTGACTTCAAGACTTACTATAAAGCAGGAACAATCAAGATGGTATACTATATAACCAACTGATTTTTGACAAAGGTGGAAAAGCAACTCAATGGAGAAAGGATAGTCATTTCAACAAATGATGCTGGAGAAACTGGACACCCCAAGGCAAAAAATGAACTTTGACATAAAATGCACAGCTTATATAAAAATTAGCTCAAAATGTATCATGGACTTAAATGTAAGATGTAAAACTATAAAAATTTTAGAAATGAAATCATAGAAAAGTTGGGCTAGGCAGCAAGTTCTCAGCCTTCACCCCTAAAGCACAATCCTAAAAGGAAAAGTGGATATATTAGACTTTATCAAAATGAAAAACTTTTGCTCTGCAAAAAATTTAAGAGGAGGAAATTATTGAGGGAATTATTTGCAAACCATATATCTGATCAATCTAGAATATATAACAGTAAAAACCAACAATCCAATTAGAAAGTGAGCAAAAAACATTTTACTAAAGAGGATATATGGGTAGCAAGTAAGCACATGAAGAGATCATGAACTTCATTAGTCATTAGGGAATGCAAATTTAAATCACAATGATTTATTACTTCATATTTATCAGAACAGTTAAAGAAAACTTGAAAATACCACATGCTTGCTGTTCAGCATGCATACTGGATCTCTCATTCATGGCTGGAAGGAAATAAAATGAAATTTTAATAAAATGAAATATACATATACCATATGACCCAGCCATCTAACTCCTAGACATTTATCACAGAGAAATGAAAACCTATGTTGGCAAGAAAACTTGTATACAAATGTTCTTATCACCTTCATTTGTAATAGCCCCAAACCGGAAGCAACCCACATGTCCTGCAGTTGAGTGGTTAAACCAATCATCCATAACATGGAATACTACTCTTCAATCAAAAGGAATAGACTATTAACACACACAACTTGGATGGACCTCAAGGGTATCATGGTGAACTTTAAAACAAAAACAGACTGAAAATGTCACATACTATATAATTGATTTATATAACTTTCTTGAAATGACAAAATTACAGAAATGAAGAACAGATTAATAGTTGCCAAGCATAGGGACTGGAGGGGTATGGAACATATGTGACTATTAATGGATAACACAAGGAGTTCCTTTGTGCTGATGGAGCAGTTCTATATCTTGACTGTAGTGTTGATTAAATGAATTTATATCTGTGCTAAAACTACATAGATGCACACATATCCACAAATTAATGCATGTAAAATTGAAGTAAGTTCTGCAATCTAGTAAGGTGTATTGGACCATTATATCATGAAACTGGGTAAGGTCTACAGTCTAGTAAGGAGTATTGTACCATTTTCAATATGTTGGTTTTGAAGTAGTACTATACTTACGTAAGATCTTATTACTGGGAGATACTGGGTACATGAGACTCACTATACTATTTGCAACTTCCTGTAAAACTATAATTATTGCAAAATAAAAAGTTATAAATATTAAGGTACTAAAATTATGGTACTTATTTTATGAAATAAGATTGATAAAAATAAAATCTAAGGGCAATAAAATGATTTGAATATTTTTACAGTCCACCTTGAGCACATGTCCCTTTCTCTTTCTGAGCCTCATTTTCTTTTTCTTTTTTTCTTAAAAATAAGGTTAGAATAGATGACCAATATATAACCAAGGTTCCTCTTATTTAAGTGTTCAGTCTTTAAGTGTTAAGAATTACAAGGACAGTGGTGTAAAAAGATACGTCATTACTTACCACCTGCACCAATCTGGCTTACACAATATATTGCATTCTGCTCAGAACCCTGTATTTCCTTCTGGTTAGCAGATTCTGTTTTCAATCATAGCCAAGACTGATGGGAACAATAAACACTGTTTTCTCATTTCCTATTTATTCAGTTCATTGCATTCTGACCTTTGCCTGTATCACTCCATTCAAACCACTGCTGCCAAAGTCACCAGTGACCTCTACATAGTGAAGTCAATAGATGCCTTTTTTGTCCTTAATGAATATCAGTCTTCACACAATTGGCCACTGTTCCTTGAAATCTATCTGTCTTGGCTTCTGCTATTCTAATCTTTTCTGGTATTTCACTTCTCTGGCTGTTCTCAAATTCATTCAAAGGCTTCTCTATCACTGTTTACCTGTATGCAATTGACAGACCAATCTGTGTCTCCATCTGAACCTTTATCTGAACTCTAGACCTACATTTCCTCCTGCCTACTATGTATGTCCACTCAGCTGTCTTAGTGGCACATGAACCAGGAATCAGTTACACTAAACAAGTAAGTGAATTGATTGTGGAAATAAATATTGATGAAAGGGTAAGATAGGTTTTTCAGTGTCAGAGAAATGATTTACAAATGTGAAATGGGGGAAGAGTAAAATGAACCTTATGGTGTTGGACTGAAATTGGAAGCATTAATATAAACTTTTTTTCAAATAAAAAAATGGACTCCATCCAAAAATGGCAGCAGAGTGGGGGAAAGTTACATTTAACTTCCTTCCAGGTCCAAACTGGAATTACAACTGAAATATAGAACAATCAACCTGAATAACCAACTGAAGACTAGCTGAACAAACATCTTATAATCAAGGATCTACAGAAGCCATATCAAGACTGGGCGGAGACATGTGCAGTGGCTGAGATTCTGGAGGGATATCCCAGCTGCAAAGGTCCCCCATGAGGAGCATGGGGTCTCAACCCCATGCCAGGGTCTCCAGCCCAGAGCACCAGAGCCAGGAAAAGGAGACCACATAATACGTGGCTGTGAAAATGAGCAGGGATTCTGTCCACCAGGAAGAGATGGGATTTTGCTAGAAACCCAGGTGCCCTCTTACAAAGCAAATGCACAAAATCTCATTCACAGCCAATCACCCTAGGCTCCGGCAGAGGGAGAGTAGAGTGGACTAGAGTCATATGAGGAAAGACTGGGATGTGTGGCTCTGGGGAGAGAAGTGAAGGGACAGCTGATAGGGTTACTGTGCTGAGTCCCTCTCCCACACTGAAGACACCATCTTTCTTGGATCAAGAACTCCCCTCCACATGGCATCAGCATGAGGGAATGCACTAGCCCCACACTCCTGACTCCCTGTTGCACCACCCTGCAGAGCACATCCCCTGTAGAGGAGTCAGTTGCCTGAGCCCATGGTGTAGAGGTCAAGGCAGACTCAGAAAGTGTCAGAGGCTGAGTGGTGTGGCACTGGGGCAGGGGCCATTCCCTTCCTTTTTGAAAGCGTGATATGTACCACCCTCCATAGGAGATCCACTAGCCCCACCTTCCTGACCCCTTCCCCCCTCTGCCAAGCTCGGGCATTCAAGGAGGTCCAGACACAATCCAGAAGAAACAGTGATGTGGCTCCAGGGCAAGGGCGATCTTTCCCTCACATGCTTGACTGGTGCCACTGTGCCTCCGTAGAATCCTGCCCTCATATGGCCAAATATTGGTCTGTTTGGGCCTGAACTTTGCTGGCCTCCTGCTGCTGAATCCCTGAGACCTTTCCACACCAAAAATGTCTGGGCACCTAGTGGGTGGCAGCTGGCCTTGGTGTATCCTGGGACTTTTGCTGAGTGGCCTCTGGCCCAGCACTGGCACCAAGTTTGAATCTGTATCAGTCTGGTGTACACCACTTGCCCCTACCTGGTGACACATGAAAACCTACCTCATGCAACTTGGGTACCATCAGAGGCCCTTTCAGTGACTGAGCCTAACAGGCAGCTGGCAGGTGGACACAGGTGGAGGTGGATCTTGGGGTACCTTTTGCTGACTTGCCCTCATGCTCAGTGCTGGTGGAAGCCAGCCTTGGTGCTCGGCTTGGCCCTTCCCACATACACCCAAGACCAGCAGAGGCAACCACAAACTGGATAGCTTTTTAGCTCTAAGCAGGTAGCCCGGGGGTAGTCACAGGCAGTGTCTGATGTTGACCTACACCGAAGTCCCTGGCAAGAGGCCCCAGAACCAGCACACCAGTTGGCAGGCTAATTGGAGCAGGACCCAATTAGCTCCAAAAGCAGCACATCCAAAGGGGGATCTCAGAAGGCACCAGAATATGCTGGGGCAAATTCTACTTCATGTAGTTAGCATCTGCACAGCAGCTTTTATACTGTGGTTGGGAGGGTCAATCCTCACAGCCAGCCAGCCTGAAGATTGACCCTGAGCACAGATGGATGAATAGCAATTAAGACTTAACTATAACAGGAGAGCTCACATAACCCATATGAGGAACATTCCTAGAGCACCTTGCTTGGGTGATCAGGAAGGCTGCACTGTTGAGCCCAACAGCTCATCAACTGCATAAGGCCATCCTTATAAGGTTGGGAGATATAACATATCTAAGTCATGCACAGAAACAAATACAGAGACTAAAAAGTGAGCAGACAAAGAAACATGCTGCAAATGAAAGAACAGGAGAAATGCCCAGGGAAAGAACTAAATTAAATGTAGAAAAGCAATCTACCAGATAAAGAGTTCAAAGGAGTGGTTATAAGAATGTTCAAGTAGTTTAGGGGAAGAATGTATGATCTTAGAACATAAGGAGATAGTAAGCATAAAAAAGGGCATAGAAACCATAAAAAACAGAAATGAAAAATACAATATCTATAATGAGGAATATACTAGAAGGAATCAATGATAGATTTGATGAAGCAGAGGATTGACTCAATGATTTGGAAGAGAACATAGAAAACAGCGCAGAAAACAGAAAAAGGATATTTTTTTAAAAAGGATAGTTTAAAGAATGTGTGGGGCAACACGAAGTGTCACAGCATCTGCATCATAGGGGTACCAGAAGAAGAAAGGAGAGATCAAGTGATTGAGAACCTATTTGAAGAAATAATTATTGAAAACTTCCCTGACCTGGTGAAGGGAACAGGCACACAAGTCTGGAAAGTGCAGAGTCCCAAATAAGATGAACCCAAACAGGCCCACAAGACACATCATAATTAAAATGCCAAAGGTTAAAGAAAAAGAATCTTAAAAGCAGGAAGAGAAAGACAGTTAGTTACCTACATGGGAGCTCCCATAAGATGGTCAGCTGTTAACAGAAACATTTCAGGCAAGAAGGGATTGATACAAAATATTCGAAGTGATTAAAAGCAAGGACCAACAACAGAGACTACATTACCCAGCTAGGCTATCATTAAAATTGAAGGAGAAATAAAGAGCTTCCCAGACAAGAAAGTGCTAAAGGAGTTCACTAACACCAAACCAGTATTATAAGAAATGTTAAACAGTCTTCTTTAAGAAGAAGAAAGAAAGAAAAAGAGGATGAGTGCTATGAAGAATAAAATGGCAATAAATATGTACCTATCAATAATAACTTCAAATGTAAATGGCTTGAATGCTCCAATCAAGAGACAAAGGGTAGCTAAATGGATAAGAAAAGAAGACCCATATATATTCTGTCTACGAGAGACCCACCTCAGAAGGAAAGAAAAACACAGACTAAAAATAAAGGGAAGGGAGATATTTTATGCAAATGGAAATGAAATAAAAGCTGGAGTAGCAATGCTTATATCAGAAAAGATAGACTTTAAAACAAAGGCCATAAAAAGAGACACAGGACACTACATAATGATGAAGGGATCAATCCAACAAGGGGATACAACCCATGTAAACATTTATACACCCAACATAGGAGCACCTAAATATATAAAGCAAATCTTGATGAACATAAAGTAAGAGATTAACAGTAATATAGTCATAGTAGGGGATTTTAACACCCCACTGACATCAATGGATAGATCTTCTAGACAAAAAATCAACAAGGGAATGGTGGCCTTAAATAACACACTAGATCAGATGGATGTGATTGATATCTTCGGAGTATTTCACTCCAAAGAAGAAGAATGTATGTTCTTTTCAAATACACATCAAACATTTTCTAGGATAGGCCACGTCTTAGGACAAAAAAATAAGTCTCAATAAACTTAAAAAGATTGAAATCAGCCCTGGCTGCTGTGGCTCCGTGGATTGAGCACCAGCCTGTGAACCAAAGGGTTGCTGGTTCGATTTCCAGTCAGTGCACATGCCTGAGTTGCAGGCCAGGTCCCCAGTCAGGGGCGTGTGAGAGGCAACCACACATTGATGTCTCTCCCCCTCTCTTTCTTCCTCCCTTCCCCTCTCTCTAAAAATAAATAAATAAAATCTTGAAAAATAGAAAATAAAAAGATTGAAATTATATCAAGCATTTTCTCCAACCACAATGTTATGAAACAAGAAATTAGCTCAAGAAAAACACTGAAAAACACACAAACCCATAGAGGCTAAATGACACATTTCTAAACAATGAACTGTTAATGAGATCAAGGAAGAAATCAAAAGATACCTTAAAACAAAAGAAAATGAAAACAAAACAACTCAGAATCTTTGGGACACTGTGAAAGCAGTCCTAAGAGGAAAATTCATAGCATTACAGACCTACCTCAAGAGACAAGAAAAATCTGAAATAAACATTCTAATATTACACTTAAGAGAACTAGAAAAAATAACAACAAACAAAGCCCAAGTCAGTTGAGAAAAGAAATAATGAAGATTAGTGCAGAAATAAAATAGA